TCCTAATATGTAAGCATATTTTTCTGAATTGGAGTGAATATCATAGTAATAATTTCTTAAATGTAAGGACATGCTTAAATACTTGTTAGATTAGAAGATGCAATGTTCACCATATTTTATAATACCAAATGATGTGCCTCTTTAATAAATTGTTATATGTGACAATGATAATTCTTTAAAACAAATACGTGATCAGCTTGGTCTCATAATCCCATACGATGTCATACAGACCTAAGCTATTGGAGAAACTTAAAAGTTCAGTATTAAAAAGAAAATTGAATTCATTTATTTAAATAAAAACATTTGACGATAAGATGCCTTAGTAAAAATAAATTTTTGAATAATCCAAAATATTTTTCACATATTTTTATAAAAGAGTTAGGTGAAAATAACAAGAAGTAACGTGAATATTGCTACACAAAAAAAAAATCTTAAAATTATATATTATATTTATGTCACTATTATAGTCGGTTGATGGGATATTAACATAATCTTTTGATACACTTAATATTGTTACTTAATATTGCTAGCGACATTTAGTTTGTAAGTAGTATTACATAAAGTTGTGTGATACCCTTTGCAATATTTTACTTTTGCCTTAAAGTATTAATTTCTTTGTTTACTTTTAAATCTTCTAGCTACTGATCACTTCTGGACCGGTTATATTCAGAAGAAAAAACATTGTTAGCTGGATTTTGATGAGTTTAAAAAAAATGCAACCTGGGGGAGGGGTGAAGTAAAGTTTTAGGAAATTGAAAAGGGTTAAAAAATTATATTATCGCAAAAATTGTAGGTCAAACAAAAATCTACAACTTTTGTAGGGGTCACTTTTTGATATAACCTCAAAATTATCGATAAAAATGCAAAAGTTCGTTTGAATTTTTTATTTTTCATTTAAATTCTGATGAACATTGGTGTAATTGTGCCATTGTTGGTTTCGGACTCGATGATTTTGCATAAATAGCTGGTATATAAATTAGAAAGGGGGTTACTTCAGATTTGGTCCCATATAAATTAGGTTAAATCTGCACGATTTGAAGTCTGTTTTATTACTTGATAACTCCCCCTCTGGTTGCATTATTTATAATAAGCTCCTCTTCCATTTACACTTAACAATTTTTTTTTCTCTCAAAGTTTAATTTGATTTGACTATTCAATAAAAAATGTTTTCCAGTAAATATCTTCGATCTTGCTATGTAAATTAAGAAGTGATTATATCAAAACTGAAGATTATTAGTAAAACAGCACACTGGTCTTGCCATTATTAACACACTTACTTTTCTTTACTGATTACCAAAGAGGTTTATGTGTCATATTTGTTTTTAAATTAAATCGTTTCAGGGTACGATATGTTACAAGTTAATTTTTACCATTGGTTAAAAATATTAATAGGTAACTAATCTAATTAATCAATATGGTCATATTTGTTTGGACGAACTGCCCTTTGAATTTTCTGCCAAAATCTTCCAACAGAGGTTGTGATAGTGTTAATAGCAAACTTTTTATATTCATTTGTGCTGATTAAATTTCATCATAGATTTCTTTGAGACACAAATGGAGAAATTAATTTTTTCCAAGTATTAAAAAGACTAAACTTATTTTACGTTTATCACATGACACAAAGTTAGCTTTATTTATTTAATTCTTAATTATTATTTGAGTTGTTATAAGCTGTGATTCTAATTTCTGGTATTTATCTTGCAATGGTTAACCAAATTACTGTGCATGAGCACATGTTTATATAAGTGCCTATAAACGTGCAATTTAATATAGGGCCTGACTTTCAAGACAGGGTTTTAAAATTATAAATTGATTTTTTGAACAATTTCTATCAAAAATTTAAGGTTTTTTACCTCACTATGTATAAACTCACCGATATAGTAAATTAGTAATAATTAGTTTTAGAGAAAGATGGTTTTTAACGAAGTGTTTTGTCTGAAAATTTTCGATATCGTTACATTCTATACTTCAGTGTTACGCCGTATGCATATTTACTCTTGAGTTAGTCGGCATTTTTAGAAAGATGGCGTTGCTTATGTATAGTGGGGTGACTAGATTTAATGTAGAGGTATCGATATTTTTGATCTCAACCAATGAGATTTATAGCTAGCTGGGAACTGCCAATTAAATTGTAAAAAGATAATGTATGTCCTATGTAATAAAAGGAATATGTAGGTTTAATTTAGACATTGAAGTTGATCTAAGTATTGAGAGGAACACATCTTTGATCCGGAATTGTAAGCGAAGAGGTATGATAGCAATTTTGAACCGCTTAACGAATTTTCAACCTCATTTCGAATAAAAATCAACCTAAATCTACCCACAAGTCCGGATAGTGTAGTAGTTGAGGTAATATTAGACATACGGTGTTAGGCCCTCTCTTTCTCAGGTTTAGAATTATTACTGTTAGATGTAAATCTGCTGTTTTTCTATTTGCTATAAATAGCAAAAACGAGTAATTTGTCTAAACAGTCAACAGGTGAAAACGACATTCCTTAGTTTTTGAAATTGTGTACATATATATTTTTCAATTGGACGGTCAAAATTAGAATATTTTTTTTATATATAATATCCATAATAATTTCAATGCATTTAATTTTTTTCAAAGTCGAATAAAACTCATTTTTTGAAGTCTTCTCTAGAATTTCTTATTTGTTTCATGCATTTCCTAAATAGCAAAATAAATTCATTAAAACAGAAGGATATATATTTTTAAACTTTTCCATTTTATCCGTTTACAACTTTTAAAAAAAGTAACAATTTGATAAAAATACCATATCAAATTGTATAATATCATTAATGCTTTGAGTAAGTCCAAAATACAAAGACTGTTTATAGACAAAGTGATCAAATAAATAATTATACTACCCAGTGTATTAAACTATACAGAATATAAGACTTGCACAGAATTTTAGCTTGGGCAAAACAAAATGGTCCATACTAAGGTGCTCTTAAAGAATTTAATTGTTGTGCTTCTCTAATTTATTACTATATAGTGTGAACTATGAAAATTCGTAAAAAACAAATGTTTGGGCTCACTTGATCGGTTTTCTACCAGATATCTTTTTTGAAAAATTTAAAGTTTGTTATATTGACATATTTCCATTTTTTTTTTTTTTTTTTTTTTTTCAATATTCTAGAGACTGCTTTTAACGAGTTTTTCTTTTTTAATAATCGTAATACAAGATTTTTTACTTAAATCTACCTTCTCTTGTCCTTTTTCCTAATTAAATATATAGTTAATAATATAGTTAATTTTAACTTGTAAAATTTCTCTATTATGAAATATAAATTTAATAAAACTTTCAAAGTACACAGTGAAAAGTTGCAAAGTATTTTTATGAAATAGGTCCCTGGTCTATAGATTTTTGCAACAGCCAAGATTGCAGTATCATCAAATTTTGCAATAGTATTGGTCTCAAGATTAGAATATTGGTAAAGTACTGGACCTAGTAAACTTCCTTGAGGTACTCCAGCCTGGATTTCTCTTAGATCGGAATAGCCTTCCTATTTTATTCAAAAATATCTTTCTGATGAATAGGATTTCAATACTTTTGAGTATTGACATGGCAGGAACATGTACAGTTGTTAAATTTGGCCTTCATGCTATACTTTATCGAAAGTCTGAGCCTGTCATTATAATCACTGATGTATGAATGACTGGATTATATATTTAACAATAGAAAATGATAACTAACCCAATTTTGACGTTTTATTTGCACCGTGGCACGGTCTGTTTATCTGTATATTATAGCGTATACAATATATATGTCTATTTAGGAATAGGATAAGGGAAGGCCGATGAAAGTCTGTATCTTATAACCATTCAATCTGTATATCGGTACAAATGGTTTTTTAGGATGTACTGCAATTAAACATTTTATGACGTTGGTAGAAGATTTGATCATGTAGAAGAGTGAGCTAAAAGGACTATTCTCATTCTTCGAAATGTGCCAAAATTTTTTGCTTAGAAAATTTTTGCTCACAGCGATTTACGGGTTTAAAACCGCTAATCGCATACGCTTATAAGCTGTGTATATTAACTTATAATGCAATATATATTAACGTGTATATGTATATTGGCTGAATTTGTACAATTGTTATAATTTCATATAGTATATCTAAATAGGTATAAAATATTTTTCAGCGGTTAGATAGGTTAGGAAATGTATTATTAGCGTAAGTGTAGATTAATGGCTTTAAAAAAAAAAACGTAGCAGTGTTCACGTTACAATCAAATTTACTGTATTGTTTTAAAAGTGAAGGTAGTATGCTCCAACATGTTCAATGTGGATTTTTATGATGTATTTGGTTGAGTAATGCCTAATAAATAAATTAGGTAATGCTGAATAGTATTCTATCTTTAAGAATTTCTTCCAAACGTGTTACATTTTCGGTATGTTTAGAATTATACCCTTTGTATTGTGATGCATATTTTAATGTAAAAAAGAGATTTACTTTTGTTGTAAACTATTTATATTTGAATACTCGTTTAGAAAAATTGTTAAATTTTGTTGGAGCAACTTAATTCTTGAATAGAGCGAATTATAAAAAGTTTACAACATTTTTTTACGCTTCAACCTCTAAATCGAAATGTTCTTTTTTTTTTAATTATTTTTGTTCTCTTATTTGGGACCTGAAACAATAGTAATGATTTTAGTTATCGTGTAAAATGTATTATTTACCTAGTTTGCATCACTACTATGGTTTTGTTAATTTTGTTTTCTTGTATAACAAAATGGCCTAAACATGTTCCCTCCTATAACTTCTAGTCCAACTATGCCTGATTACTGTTATTCCATAATATATAGCATTTTTTATTTATGTGTTAAGTTTGTTGTTAAAAAAAAGTAATTTGTGACGTATTTAACCATTATTTAGTAATATTTATTAAGACTTCCACGAAATTAAATAAATGCTATTATTTTCTAATTGACTGAATCTGTATTTTGCACATTTTGTTACCATCAAAAAATCGACATCTGTTTTTTTTTTTTTAGGACATATTGCAAAATCTTTTTTTACCACTTTAACGCACTTCTAAAAGGTCAAATACTTGGTTTAAATTTAATGCTAAATTTGAAGACTGTTACATATATGTATAGTTGGAAATTCGAAACACTTCAAGGTATAAGTACATTCCGAATAAAATATGTGCCATCCGAATGCCTTTGTAATTGAATTCATATCCAGGTAATAAAAGTTTACTATTGATATTTTTTAATGTAATAAATTTTTGTCATGACTGTATCCATATATTTGGCTTCATAATAAATGTTAATAGTTCCGCGTACCGCTGTACCTTGATTTAAAACAAAAAATATGTAAAAATAACACTATATACACATTGTAACAAGTCAGTTAACACCATAGAAATAGTATAAAATGCTAATTCCATGAATTAAGTGAAACCAACAGGAGCAAATATAGTGTGTCGGGACGCAGGCGCATAATGTAGTGAATATACGCGATGTTTTAGGTCAACAATCATACATTTTTAGAGGTATTTCTTTATATAAAAAAGTTCAAGTAAAAACATACTGGTATTTTATATTATTTCTATGGTTAATTTAAGTTCGATTAATAACATAATGCAGCAAATTAATTTTTAGGTTATGTTAACAGATTCAGATGTGATAACTTGACAATTGAATAAATATGAATTTCCTTCACAATAAATTAATAAATCTAAGAGGGAGAAAGTAACAGTTTAATATATCCTTTGTTTTTAAATAATTGATTTAAAATTAAAAAGTTACTTTGATCTCTTTTACATTTTTCTTTTCTGGTTATTATTAAGGGTGGGCAAAATAATCGATTATTTTCGATTAATCGATTGTTTCGATTATACTCTATTATTTATTTAGATATTTGCCCAAACCTAGTCATTTTGACCAGGAATGATTTTCAACGTCTATTCAGTTTTGTAAAATGTTAATATTTCGTTGATTTCAGAGTCTATATACAAATTCAACTGTATGCTTTTTATATCGACTCTGAGGTCGACAAAATTGTCGAAAAAAAAAATGTATTTATGGCAAATTGACTATACAATATCAATAGTAATAATCAGTAATGCTACCTCTTAAAAATCATGTGTTATTGTTTAGGTTCCTGATAAATAACAACATAGATATTATGAAATAAGCTAGGTCGTATCCTTGTATTCATGTGAATCTCTTAAAAAGATTTTGGGAGGGTTAAAGTAGGGACCAGGCCGCGATATCACGGTAATATCAAATATTCAAAATTATGTAAATCAAATCCTCGACATCTTTCATGATGTATAAAGATACATTTTACAACAAATATTTACCTATTTAAGACTTCATTAATATGTAGAAAATTACAAGTAAAATATAAATATCTGCACTATTACGTAATTAGTTTGCTGTTTGCTCATCTCGTAAACAATTTTTAAGTATTATTTAGTTGTCATGAACAATATGTTTGGACTTAAAAAACCTACCTCAATTATTTTATTAAAAACACACCAAATTATTTCGTTAAATACTTTTTCTTTAAAATTGTTAAGATGGGCGGGCCGAGCAAATTTTTACAGTGCTTTACACCTAAAAGTCTGCACATTTAAATATAAATGGGTTCAGAATGGAATAGCAAAGTTCACAAATCCAAATATTTACCCTATCTATTTTTAAAGGTCTTAATGATTTTATTTGTAAACAGCAGAGTTTTAGGTATAGACTCTGTATTGTGAATATAGATATTAATTAATAAAACTGGAGTACCATTGCAGTCAGTGCAGATGATCACCTAGGATAAGTTAGGTTATGTAAGTGCTTTTTAAGTAACTGAAGTTGTTATGCTCTGTACTTGTAACCCAATGACCAGTATGCATTCAGTAATAAAGGTTGTCTTAAATGTCTTCGAGTGTTCTTATTGAACTTGTTTACAGAATATATGTATTCTGTAAAAAGTACAAACAAAGACGCATTTTTTTATTTAAAATACCTTCCTATAGATTTTAAGAAAATTTTACTTTATATACGTTTTATGTGCGTTGTTTTGTGTGCTGTCTTGTGAGTGTTGTCTTGTGTATGTTATTTTGTGTGCGTTGTTTGCGTGTTTCGTTTTGTGAGCGTGGTTTTATATGCGTCGTTTTGTGTGCGTTATTTTGTGCATTGTTTCGTGTGTATCGTTTTGTGCGTTGTTTCGTGGGCGTCGTTTTGTATGTGTTGTCTTGTGTGCGTCGTTTCGTGTGCATTTTGCGTGCGTTGTTTATGTGCGCTGTTTCGTATGGTTAGACATCTAGGATAGAATCGAAGCAAATATATCTTAATAGTAAATAAACGTAGTTCGCGTTTGAGCGGTTCTAATGAGAATTTTGTACCAAACTTTTCATCGAATCCTGGTTTATTTTAATTAACATCACAACGTGGGTATATAAATATTCGACGATCACTATTACTTCTAGAGGAAAAAGGCCAAATACAGTAAGTATAGAAATTAAAGTTAAAATTGTTTTATATGCGTCGTTTTGTGTGCCTAATTTTGCGTTACCCAGAATTTTACAGTAATTTGATTGATCTCCTCGCTCTTCTGCTATCCTGATACCAAAATTTTGTTAACGAAATTGCAACTTTTGATAGTTTGAAACAGAAATCGAGTAAGTATGGAAAAATGTTATTTCTGCTCCGATAGAAGGGAACAGAGTGTATTTTTAAGATCTTGACGTTCCATTCTATACATACGCCGATTTTTTTAAACTTTTTTTCCCCAAAAAAAAAGGAAAGGGTATAGCCTTCAAAATTTTTTGAGAAAAAATTTTTTTGTCTCCGATTTCCATGAAAATTTGGCTACATATCAAAGAGAACAATGCAAATTAAGGGGTGGATTCAGTTGCTTCTTATTGACAAGGGTTTTATTTTATTTGTAATTTCCTCAGTTATTAATAATCGAATCATTCTCTAAACATTCTCAAAACGTAGAGCCGAACGGATACAATAGAGTGCTCTTTGTAGTTCGTCTCTATCCCAAGCCGTTTAGGATATATTCAAGTTTATATATCCGTCGATTTTGCGTTACCCTGAATGGCAATGACAATTTGATGAAGAAACTTAATTTTGCGTTACCCTGAATTAAATTAGTAATTTGATTGAAGAACTTAAATATCTCCTCGCTCTTCTGCTATCCTGATACCAAAATTTTGTCAACGAAATTGCAACTTTCGATAGTTTGAAACAGAAATCGAGTAAGTATGGAAAAATGTTATTTCTGCTCCGATAGAAGGGACCAGAGTGTATTTTTAAGATCTTGACGTTCCATTCTATACATACGCCGATTTTTTTAAACTTTTTATCCCCAAAAAAAAAGGAAAGGGAATAGCCTTCAAAATTTTTTGAGAAAAATTTTTTTTGTCTCCGATTTCCACGAAAATTTGGCTACATATCAAAGAGAACAATGCAAATTAAGGGGTGGATTCAGTTGCTTCTTATTGACAAGGGTTTTATTTTTAATTTCCTCAGTTATTAATAATCGAATCATTCTCTAAACATTCTCAAAACGTAGAGCCGAACGCATACAATAGAGTGCTCTTTGTAGTTCGTCTCTATCCCAAGCCGTTTAGGATATATTCAAGTTTATATATCCGTCGATTTTGCGTTACCCTGAATGGCAATGACAATTTGATGAAGAAACTTAATTTTGCGTTACCCTGAATTAATATAGTAATTTGATTGAGGAACTTAAATATCTCCTCGCTCTTCTGCTATCCTGATACCAAAATTTTGTCAACGAAATTGCAACTTTTAGTAGTTTGAAACAGAAATCGAGTAAGTATGGAAAAATGTTATTTCTGCTCCGATAGAAGGGAACAGAGTGTATTTTTAAGATCTTGACGTTCCATTCTATACATACGCCGATTTTTTTAAACTTTTTTTCCCCAAAAAAAAAGGAAAGGGTTAGCCTTCAAAATTTTTTGAGAAAAAATTTTTTTGTCTCCGATTTCCATGAAAATTTGGCTACATATCAAAGAGAACAATGCAAATTAAGGGGTGGATTCAGTTGCTTCTTATTGACAAGGGTTTTATTTTATTTTTAATTTCCTCAGTTATTAATAATCGAATCATTCTCTAAACATTCTCAAAACGTAGAGCCGAACGGATACAATAGAGTGCTCTTTGTAGTTCGTCTCTATCCCAAGCCGTTTAGGATATATTCAAGTTTATATATCCGTCGATTTTGCGTTACCCTGAATGGCAATGACAATTTGATGAAGAAACTTAATTTTGCGTTACCCTGAATTAAATTAGTAATTTGATTGAGGAACTTAAATATCTCCTCGCTCTTCTGCTATCCTGATACCAAAATTTTGTCAACGAAATTGCAACTTTCGATAGTTTGAAACAGAAATCGAGTAAGTATGGAAAAATGTTATTTCTGCTCCGATAGAAGGGAACAGAGTGTATTTTTAAGATCTTGACGTTCCATTCTATACATACGCCGATTTTTTAAACTTTTTTTCCCCAAAAAAAAAGGAAAGGGTATAGCCTTCAAAATTTTTTGAGAAAAAATTTTTTTGTCTCCGATTTCCATGAAAATTTGGCTACATATCAAAGAGAACAATGCAAATTAAGGGGTGGATTCAGTTGCTTCTTATTGACAAGGGTTTTATTTTATTTGTAATTTCCTCAGTTATTAATAATCGAATCATTCTCTAAACATTCTCAAAACGTAGAGCCGAACGGATACAATAGAGTGCTCTTTGTAGTTCGTCTCTATCCCAAGCCGTTTAGGATATATTCAAGTTTATATATCCGTCGATTTTGCGTTACCCTGAATGGCAATGACAATTTGATGAAGAAACTTAATTTTGCGTTACCCTGAATTAAATTAGTAATTTGATTGAGGAACTTAAATATCTCCTCGCTCTTCTGCTATCCTGATACCAAAATTTTGTCAACGAAATTGCAACTTTCGATAGTTTGAAACAGAAATCGAGTAAGTATGGAAAAATGTTATTTCTGCTCCGATAGAAGGGAACAGAGTGTATTTTTAAGATCTTGACGTTCCATTCTATACATACGCCGATTTTTTAAACTTTTTTTCCCCAAAAAAAAAGGAAAGGGTATAGCCTTCAAAATTTTTTGAGAAAAAATTTTTTTGTCTCCGATTTCCATGAAAATTTGGCTACATATCAAAGAGAACAATGCAAATTAAGGGGTGGATTCAGTTGCTTCTTATTGACAAGGGTTTTATTTTATTTGTAATTTCCTCAGTTATTAATAATCGAATCATTCTCTAAACATTCTCAAAACGTAGAGCCGAACGGATACAATAGAGTGCTCTTTGTAGTTCGTCTCTATCCCAAGCCGTTTAGGATATATTCAAGTTTATATATCCGTCGATTTTGCGTTACCCTGAATGGCAATGACAATTTGATGAAGAAACTTAATTTTGCGTTACCCTGAATTAATATAGTAATTTGATTGAGGAACTTAAATATCTCCTCGCTCTTCTGCTATCCTGATACCAAAATTTTGTCAACGAAATTGCAACTTTTAGTAGTTTGAAACAGAAATCGAGTAAGTATGGAAAAATGTTATTTCTGCTCCGATAGAAGGGAACAGAGTGTATTTTTAAGATCTTGACGTTCCATTCTATACATACGCCGATTTTTTAAACTTTTTTTCCCCAAAAAAAAAGGAAAGGGTATAGCCTTCAAAATTTTTTGAGAACAAATTTTTTTGTCTCCGATTTCCATGAAAATTTGGCTACATATCAAAGAGAACAATGCAAATTAAGGGGTGGATTCAGTTGCTTCTTATTGACAAGGGTTTTATTTTTAATTTCCTCAGTTATTAATAATCGAATCATTCTCTAAACATTCTCAAAACGTAGAGCCGAACGCATACAATAGAGTGCTCTTTGTAGTTCGTCTCTATCCCAAGCCGTTTAGGATATATTCAAGTTTATATATCCGTCGATTTTGCGTTACCCTGAATGGCAATGACAATTTGATGAAGAAACTTAATTTTGCGTTACCCTGAATTAATATAGTAATTTGATTGAGGAACTTAAATATCTCCTCGCTCTTCTGCTATCCTGATACCAAAATTTTGTCAACGAAATTGCAACTTTTAGTAGTTTGAAACAGAAATCGAGTAAGTATGGAAAAATGTTATTTCTGCTCCGATAGAAGGGGAACAGAGTGTATTTTTAAGATCTTGACGTTCCATTCTATACATACGCCGATTTTTTTTAAACTTTTTTTCCCCCAAAAAAAAAGGAAAGGGTTAGCCTTCAAAATTTTTTGAGAAAAAATTTTTTTGTCTCCGATTTCCATGAAAATTTGGCTACATATCAAAGAGAACAATGCAAATTAAGGGGTGGATTCAGTTGCTTCTTATTGACAAGGGTTTTATTTTATTTTTAATTTCCTCAGTTATTAATAATCGAATCATTCTCTAAACATTCTCAAAACGTAGAGCCGAACGGATACAATAGAGTGCTCTTTGTAGTTCGTCTCTATCCCAAGCCGTTTAGGATATATTCAAGTTTATATATCCGTCGATTTTGCGTTACCCTGAATGGCAATGACAATTTGATGAAGAAACTTAATTTTGCGTTACCCTGAATTAAATTAGTAATTTGATTGAGGAACTTAAATATCTCCTCGCTCTTCTGCTATCCTGATACCAAAATTTTGTCAACGAAATTGCAACTTTCGATAGTTTGAAACAGAAATCGAGTAAGTATGGAAAAATGTTATTTCTGCTCCGATAGAAGGGAACAGAGTGTATTTTTAAGATCTTGACGTTCCATTCTATACATACGCCGATTTTTTAAACTTTTTTTCCCCAAAAAAAAAGGAAAGGGTATAGCCTTCAAAATTTTTTGAGAAAAAATTTTTTTGTCTCCGATTTC